GTACTACAAATCGATTCATCGCGGAATATAATTACAGACTATTGATGGCATTAACTACAATCGATATTGATTCGAGATTGAAAAGTACTCACAGTTCAAAGGTGTTTATCCTCTTGATAAATTACCTTTTGAAATATTAGCTAAACCTTTTGGTATGGTGATAAATCTTGATCCAAGTTGGAAAACTGGGTCCCACTGGACAGCTATCTATATTCCAGAGTATGGACCAGGTTTATATTTTGATTCATTTGGTAATAGACCATTGGATTTAATCACTTCCTTTTTGGAAAGAAATTGTAAATTCAATGGATTTAAATATAACCATTACATCTACCAAGGAGATTTATCAATAAAATGTGGATTGTATTGTATTCTCTTTCTAGAGTCTTGTTTTGAAAACAAGGATTTACCATTAATTAAATGTAATTCAGAAATTAATGAATTTATAATAAAAAATATTTATTAAAACAACTATTTTTGTACAATTTTATAATGTCCGTGAGCTAGTGTAGATACTCCATCGTCAAGTATAAATCTTTTATCATCCATTGGTGATAATGAAACTTTGTTTAGTCTTATAGAAGAAATTTGATGATTTTTAGATTGTAATCTATGATTAATATGATGATAAATGGTGTTGTCATAGAGACAATCTCTGTAGTTTTCTATTGAGATTTCATTTTTAATCACAGCCTTTTGTACTCCCTTGGCGGTAAGTTTTTTTCTAGTTCCATATTTGATAGCATAAAGTTTTGATTTCAGGGCAATAACTTCATCAATGGTTTCTCCATTCATCTCATCTTTAAGGTACCCGAGTTTTTTCTTATTCGAATTATCATGGAGAATATGTGATGTTGGATAATCAGAAAAGTCCATGATATAATCTAGTTCTTTTAAATCAGCTACAATGTCTTGAGTTTGTATATGATATATGAAACTGTCAGTGTCGGTATATACAAGTGATAAGTTTTCACCATATTTGGGCCGGAAACAATCATAATGAAGTTTATACATGTGTAACTTAGATAGTTCCAACACAGTGAACCCCAAGTAAATGGGTTTATCGAGCTTGACTTCAAACTTTCGTAATTTAACAATGGCTAAATCATTTTCTAAGATGAAAAACTGTTCAAACATTGGCTTACGAATTTGTTGAAGAGCTTGTTTACCATTCTGTATCACCTTGACTTTAGTATGTTTCCTCTTATCTTCTATACTTTTTCCATACAATGAGTTGACCATGAGTTTCCAAAAGTCTTTTTCAAAGGTAGTTGCCGCTTTTTGTCTGTTACTTGTACACATTTGAATATAAGGTGATAACCAAGCTGATTGATGAAAACTAATTATTCTATGGATTTTATTCAATTTTAATCCTTGTCAAGATAGAAACGTAAATTTCGACCATGAACGACGTAATGATGTTTATCAAACAAATTTGGGATGAGCTTTTCAGTTTCAGTACGTTTTAATCCTTGACTTTCTATTTTAGCAACCAAACTTTTGATACTTACTCATCCATTCAATTTTAACTGATAATCTTTCAGGCGCTAAAGGATAGTCATTATGATAGTCATGTAATTCACTTGGATATAACAAGTCTACTTCTAAAATATAACCAGTATCACCATCCAAATTACCATTTCTTATCGTCTCAATTGTAGAATCAAACAAATCTGGTGACACCCAAGAAAAGTTCTTCATGGAAGGACATCGTTCAGTGCAAATCCATACAAGTTGTTAACATCCAAATATGTGATGTATGATGAGGGTTTTGTTTCATCATAATTCTCAGAGTTTCGGTTGTTAGCAATGACGTGTCTCTTCATTGCACACGAGATACCACCTCTGATACCTTTTCCAATCATTAAAATCATATCAATATCAGTGAGAAGATCCAACTTATTTTTCGTTGACTTGAGAGCGGCGTCCCATGTTAAACCTGGTGTTGAAAAGTAATGACATGGGTCCAAGCCAAACTGATTAATACTTGTAGCTCTGAAATTTTGAAAGATACAAGTCAAAAGTAGCACATCAATTTTCAAATAAATATCATGAAATTCACCCAGTGTTTCACAACCAAAATGATTCCACATATCAATCAATCGATCATAAGATTGTTGATCGATTGATTTTTTCGTGAGATGAGAGTAGAAACATTCGATTGGTGGTAGCGCGCGCTCATTGAATCTATCCCAAGAGTCCATGTACTCATAAGGTAGAGATCCTTTTCCAAGTATGTGGGGTAGATCATCTTCTTTGAACATTTGTAACAAGTATGTTGATTTAGATTCAGTAGACAAGTTATTAGCCAATGTATCTAAACTTGAAAGGAGAAAAGCTAAACTATCTAGAAAGATAAAGTCATCCATAAAGAAAGCAATGTACTTTTCTGTATTTTGAGGGATGACGGCTATGTTCTGAACTAAATTTGATCTTAACCCACTGATTATAAGGTGAGCATCGTAACCTTTGAGATTATGAAAAATAATAGGTAGTTTATGTGGTAGTCTAAGTTTAAGATTACATGAGTTATGAGCTGGCCTCGATATGATCCAGTTAAATGGCAATGATCTAAAACCTTATCATTAACTAAAGGCTCATTACATACATAACACTCTAAAGCTTGTTCAAATGCTTCACGTTCCTCATTGAAAGTATTGCTGGTTTACTATTGCTTTCCAAGTGTTCTCTTAAGAACATCTGTAGCTCCAATAAAGTTTCAATAAGTTTTCAGCAGCTTTTTCCCTCGATAAAATTTCTTTGATAAAATTTGATTATTCCAATCAACTGCCACGAGTCCAAATGAACAAGCTTGGTGTTTTTGATATTCAAAGGTATTATTACCTAAAGTTTTATCTGATTTAACAACCAGGGCCTCAAAATCAGCGTAAACAACATAAGGATATGCTATTGTTTTATCTAAACGATAAAACTCACAAATCTTTGGTACTTTTCCTTGACCTGGTAGTAATATACGTTGAGCGGTGACATCTTTACAGTAGGTTTGATGGTTCGATAACAAATACTCTTGTCTGAATCCTGATAAACAATAAGGACAGTAAAACCTTTCCCAAGCCCTGTTGTTTCGTACAAAAGCATTGAAGTTGTTTATACAGTAATAATGGTCATTATATAAAAACAAGTTTACATGTTTACTTGAAGGGTTTTTATTGACCCTCAATGGAACAATCTTTCGATGTTTATCCATTGTCAGTGTATAAATGTTGATTGAAATCTTGTTTCTCCTTTCGAATTTATCGATTTGGGAGAACGGTGTAATCGGATCAATACCAGTAAAGTCGTAGAGACTAGTCAGGTTCCTATACTTTGATACTCTTTTTCTATCCTTAACCTGAGGATGTAAGGATATTAAAACAGCCCATTTAAAACAATGGGTTTGACAGTTTGGTGAAATTAAACTTTTCTTTTTCAAGAGCATTGGTGGTAATTTAACTGATGAACATCCACCACTATTTTCTTTCAATTTACATATTCTTATTTCGATTGTACTTATCGATTTAAGTACCCAGCCACTTCCTCTTTGAGTAAATTGATCAACAACTGAATCGAGATGTTGAGCCCAGGCTGACATCGTTTCATCGAACTGTGATATATGAGTAAATGGTCTCATTTGAGTCACTTTGTAAATCTCAGTTGTATCAATATCACCATCCATTTTTTGTTTAACAAATCTTAGTAAAACACAGACTTGTACTTTATGTGACCCTATTGTTTTTAGAATTGAATCTAATAAATTTTCAATATTTTGACGCTCATTTGTAAATAAACTTTCCAATGATGACCATTTTCCTGTTTTGACATAGATGGCAAAACATTTTGAAAGCTTTCTTGTGTAGGGTGTAGGTGAAATCACTGGTTAAAGTTGATAAATTTCTGTTGAAATTTTTGCAGAGTAGTAGATGGTCTACGAATAGACTATTTTTATTGAAAATTTTATCACATGTTGAACATTTAACAGACTTGAAACTACAATCTCTTCTATGTATAAGATAAGATTTATGTTTGGTAAAGCTTTCCTGACACTTGCTACACTTGAACATGTTATACTCTGAATTGTAAACAGATTTTGTATTCGATTTATATAAGGTTTTAATCATGTCAATAGGCGTATCTATATCCTGATACCATCATATTCTAAGCTATCTAATAGATATATTCTTAAAACAAGTAACAGAAGGAGTATAATAAGTACTAGAGTAATGAAATAAACAGCCATCATTCATGTAATTATTCTTCCTTGGTTTCTTTTATAGTCACGAAATAAGTTAAATAGGTCATCATTTGAGCTCATGTTTTTTTTTATTAAAATTGAATTTTAACGGATACAAAGTAAATAGGATAAAATATAGTCAAAATGTTAGTAAATAATGATAAAGATAAAAAGATTAATAAATGAATCAAGTTTCAATTCACCCCCAGATGATTTCCCCATTGCAGCAAAGACACTGTTTGGAATTGAATAAGCCGCAATTTACTTATCTCAGAACCAGTAAGAGTAAGAACAGATTCTTTCACCTCAGTTTTGATTGAAAAATGCCAACATCCATCAACTCGAAGATGACCGGATACAGTTCGTCCTGGAGCTATAGTAAACTCAAACTTCCGTTGTTCACCTTCAGTAATACATACCAATCGATCCTTTAGCTTTTCATACTCTTCCAGACGTAAGAAGAGTCCAGATTTTGTAGGATAAACATCTTCACCATTGACCATCTTTTCTCGTTTCTTCCGTATATCAACAAATGTTGAATCGATTGATTTTGATTTGTTTACGGAGATCCAGATAAGAGGAGCGATTTCACAGGTCATGAGTTGTTGAAAATTGTCCTCGAAACGGGTCGATCTTGGTCTTTCAGCTGGCGGAGAATTTTGTTGAGTTGGAACATTATTGGAGTTGCTGGAATACATTTTGATGTTGTTTCACTGATGAATCAAAACTGAATGATGAAGTTCTCTTTTCTATCCTTCCTTTTATACAATTATCGACCTGAAGAGCCAAACCCACAATCACATCGAGTAGTGATTGTCTCCACCTCCTCTTTCTGATAAAGAACAGCAAATGTAGCTTTTTCACATATCATTTGAGCGATACGCATACCTTTTGTGATGATAAACTGTTCATTTGTATTGTTAGACAGAATAACCTTAACTTCCCCAGTATAGTCAGGATCGATAACTCCACCTTGAACTGTTATTCCTTCTGAGGCCAAACTAGACCTTGAAGCTAAACGTATATACGTCCCTTTAGGTGGAGTCACTTTTAACCCAGTTTTAATAATAACTTGACCTCGAGCAGGAACAATGGTATCTTCATAAGATGATACATCAAATCCAACAGACCTTGGTGTAGCTTTAAATGGAACAGGAACATCAGGAAACATTTTAACAAAGTAGAGTGATCGAGACATGATTGATTAATAAACTGTACATGTTAGTTGTTGGTTTTATATTGAAATCAAGTGAGATAATTGGGCGTTAACTGACTCATTTATCCTTGATAAAGTTATTAAATTTGACCTGAATCTTTCCATTGAATCTGATGTAATTGAGTATTTATTTATGTCAATGCCGAAATAATCCAACAGATAAAGTAGTTGAACTTTATCTCCGATGGTTAATGGTTGAAAAACCAATTCGTTGGACCAAAGAAAGTATAGAACGACATCTATCAACCAGTCATCAACATTACCTAAATGAAAAAAAGCTTTAGTTACGATTTGTTTCTTGAAGGGATAGGTTGATCGTACATCTCATTTTGATTTCAAGCTTGTTGGTTCGAATATAAGGACCAAATAATGTCGACTTCAAGGTTAAAGATTTTGTAAATGATATCGTTGGGTATTGTTTTTTAAGTCTCTGTATGAACACTGGCTTCAACAATCGATACTTAGTATTCGAAATCCAAAACACAATATCATCTTTCTCCTTATTCTTAATGAATGTTTCGACATAATCGCGTTGGTTGAATAAGATTGATGAAACCATCTGAAAGTATGTATATAAGAAAAAACAAAATTTTATTAATTAAGGTTTTATTACACTAATTCTCTTTGTAATTGTTTGTCAACAAATGGGACAAGGACTTTTGTTTCTCAACAAAACTTCATCACAATCAATACATGTTGCTAAATGAGCACAAGGTAAATACAGCATTGTTTGTCCCTTTTCAAGACAAACACAACATGAATCCTTTTCATTCGTCTCATAACTCGACTCTGCTATAAAAGGACATTCAGGTGAAAGTTTCTTATGAGCCACCATAGGATGTTCAGGTAATTTTCCATCAATTGCAATCCGGCAAAAGGCACATTGTACAACCCTTTCAAAACCGGTCCAGAAGAATCCACTTTCAACGAAATAGTTTTTATGAGCTACCGGAGGAGGAGCGTTGTTAAAAGAGAAAACACGGTTCATCCTTATCTTGAACAGGTTAAAAACTTTCTCAGGGTTGATGACAAACTCGTCTTCAGAGAAAATTTGTAACAAATCTTCTTGAGTCCTAACAACCCGTGAAACTTTCAATTTGACTGGTAAGTCCTTGTTTGGTATGGAATCGAGTATTGGTTTTGATGAATATAAATTCACACAACCAACTTTTTTCAGTTTCAAGTTTGGTTCTTTTCCATTCACGAAAGAACACTCTGGACTGAAAAACTTGTGAATGTATGGGATTTCCTCTCTAACAAGTGACATTTCAAGCTCAAGACCACAAGCAAAACATTGAAGACATTCATCTTTAATGAAAAAACCATTTTGAATTGCTGTTGTCCATCTACCTTGAGCCCATGGACATGATGAATATCTGTTTTTTTCTTGTTTCATACAAAGATATTTTTCTAGGGAAGCTTTCATAGTGGGACAGTCCCAAACATCAAATATTGGTGAAAACATTACCTTTATTTCCTAAAATGAAAAAGAAAAAAATATTAAATTATAACAATATTTTATTTAATAGAATTCTTTTCAATTCTATTTCTTTTTTCAGGTTCAATGTATACAGTCGATGGTCAACACATTTCTTCATTTTGTGTCTCAAATATCGACACTTGATCAACCAAGATTCAGCTTGACTGACCCTAGGACACTTGAAAGTTGAAGCAAAGATACAAAGGTTAATATATTTTCCATGGTTGATTTTACACTGAATTTTTCTACTATCATCAAGTGATAATATTTTGTTTTTAGAGCAAGGGTTACAATGAATTGCTTTGAGCTCCATTCTTTTGTGTATCTTTTTCAAAAGTTTAACAAGTGATGAAGCTAAACAAACAGAACCAGTGTTTTCCGTTGGACAACAATCATTTATGGGAATTGAAAGGTAGCGCTTCATTTGAGACTCAAGTTTATTCACTTTAATTCTTTTTTCAAATGACGAAACCTTCGATGGAATTATTGAACCCGAAATAAAAGGAGTGGAAGAAACTGTTTCCGAAATTATTTTCATCTTACCTTAAGTAAAAAAAAACAAACAAAAGAAAATAAAAACAAAATGTAAGTTTATTAATAATATTTTGTGTAGGAAATGTCAATATAATCATAGAACAAAGGGTCATATTCATGACAAAAATTGTAGAATTGACGATTATTGATTATGAAAAACCAATGTTCATAATCAATTGAAGTTATTGTGCTTAACAGCTTCTTCTGCCATTCAGCATCGAAATGCTGATAAATGGCGAAAAAGTCTGTTATTTTGAAACGGTAATCAGCAAGATTGATTGGTTCATCATCTTGCTGATCTTCAATAGTTGCTTCAGAATCAATATCTGATTCTTTCACAATTTTAAGCTTAAGAGGTGACATTGGGAAGGCTTTAAACATGTTATTTACCTGTGTGATGTAAAAATAAACAAAGATGATTAATAAAATGAGAAAAGAATTATAAAATGAAACAAGGAGAAAGTGCAAATCTAAACTGTCATGGGACCAAGGAAAACGAACAAAAAAAAATTGTTTGGCTAAGACGATGAAGTACCAGTGACCAAACCAAAATGAAAGAGAACCAAAATCCAAATAGGAAGAACAGGATAGAAATAAGACCAATTTGAATAAGATGACCAAGATAACCGAGATAACCAAGATAACCAAGAGACTCAAACAAGATTCCAGAAAGATTCCAACAAGATTTCAAAGACCAAAAGAAAACTGATAAAAATTAATGAATCAACAGGTGAATAGAAAAAATACAGTGACTAAAAATATAACAGAAGATAAGACTGATGATGATGATGAGCACAAATAATGTTGAAGTGAATGGTGTGAAGACTGAAATGAACTGATAATTTACTCTCTCTCTTGCTTGTTTTTATACTTTTGTTTGAGGAAACAATTCAAAATGTTTGTATTGTTAAAGCTATGATTGTGATTGAGGAAAATTTTCAATAAAGAAATTAATTGAGTACAGCCTTTACTCTACTAAATTAATTGATATCGTGATGTACGATTTGATTGATGATCAAATAATCCTTGACTTTTTGAACTTTTGACCATTCATAAATCATCAATATCCTCAAACTGTCAAACATGAATTGTTTGAAGTTTTTCCTTGATCTTAATTGACTTTTGTTGCTGATAAGTGACTGAGAAGGTCAACAAATACTTTCATTAGTCTTTTCCTTGTTTTGAAAATGGAGCGAGAGCAATAAATAATCAGAGTTTCCTTCAATATCAATTAACTTTATGCTTACAACAATCCTCCATGTTACGGAAATGGAAAGTAGGTCAGGTCATCAATTTCGTTTTTTTTGTCATACAATGATTGAGAGTAGTCTGTTAATCCGTTGAACACTATGTTTTTCAGTGAAAACTGTATATTTCTATGATTAAGGGCAGAAATCATTGAAAAGTGATAACAGACGATAACGGACTATTGGTAAAGTGTTAATGGATATAGCATCCACCCCATCTTGTAGAGAATTTTATGCCGGTCAAGAATTCCTATCGCATGTTGGTTAAGTCATAATAGTTTACGTCGTAGGAATTTTCAAAGTTTTCAATAGGGTCACTCATGCCCCCCTTCGAAAAATTCTCCGATTTAGACGTGTTGTATATTGGCTGAAAGAGCGTAAAAAGTTGATTATAATGACATGGAAAAACATATGAAGAATGACATTGGCTCTCTGTATTAAATACATAAACTGTTATTTTCAGTTTTAAAATGACCCATGTGGGTAACTTTGTTATTTTTTATCGTAGAGTAATTTTGAGTACATATTCTGAATGGCCATTAAAAGACAAATTGAACGGTGAAATCTGTTTTCAAATCGGATAAGAAATAAAGGATTTAATATTATATTAATATTTCACATACTAGCTGTAGTAGCTGCTGCCACCTATTGGTAACAATTAATGATAAAATGAGTGATTTTTAGTGATCAAAAGTCAATTTTGCTATTTTTTGAACGGTTAGAGTTACATGGATATCTTAGACATTTTTGAACTCGTCTCGTCAAGACGAATCCAACGGTAGTCTTCTTTTCACAATTGGACCAAGAATGACAAAGTTGACTTTGTGCTCCATAGTCAATTTTCGTATCCTTCGAACGGAATGAGATAAATTTACGTGGAGGATTTTTTTGGAATCCTCGTAAAAAACTGAGTCAGGACATATACAACACTGTCAAATCGGTTGAGAAATGACGATTTTGACAAAGTTAGAAAAAAAGTCCTTCTCTATGTAATTTTTTTACAGAGACAATGTATATAAACGTCATGTATATTTTTAAAAATTTTTGACCCAAACCAGTACCAGTATATAACGAATACAAAAACTGACATGTTGGCAGATTCAACGCGCACTCTAAAACGCAGGTGGGCGGAGTCTAAAAGTTTGAATTTTTACATCGTTCTGTTTTATTTACCGTTATAAAAAGTTTCTTTGTTAATTATTTTTCACCCTTTACTCTAATTACAAATATGACCCGTGTCAACCTTACACCATTCTCTGCCATGCTGATTGCTTCCTTTCTCTACCGTCTTCTTCTAATGGTTGCCAGAGAAAATCGTGCTAATGCCCGGCGCTTCATCATCACCAATTGTCATCGCTTGTTCACTGGATTTGGTCGAACAACTATGGCTGAAAGACGTCTTTTTATCGACCCTGCTAATGGTGCCCATTTAATCCCGTTACGTGGTGATGATAATCCCGAAGAACAGGAGCCGGACAGTGATTTACAGGATAATACTGTGTCTTCATCAATTGACCCACTTATTAACCCTTTACCTCAACATGATCCCCAAAATTCCAGTCACAGTGAAAGAGAAGAGTTGGTAAGCACAGGTGAAAGTTCAGATGAAAATGAAGACCCAGAAGTCAGGTATTTGTCAAGAGCGAGAGAATTCTTCGATAGAATGCGTCGAAATATGTCCTTGGGTGCTGCTCCAGTTATCTCTGCGATTGCAACATTGG